GGGTAGATAAAATCTAAGGTGAACTGCCAAGACGCAGGTAGATGTGTTCAGAAACAGCAGATTCATATTCTGGCCTATGTATTTTTTACTGTCTATGAGAATTGTGGCGTAATCATAACGGAATGATCACCCACATAAAATACATATACACAGTGTGCAGTGTGTGTTAGATTGTATACCATTACAGTACAGAAATTGTGGAGTTGTCCTATTCTGAGTTAGGGGGCTTAGTAATTGCTGGGGGCTTGCACGATTAATATTGTACCACTTTGCGCGTAGAAAAAATTTAGTAATGTTATTATCAGTGAAATAAGATATGAGGAGATCACGAGTTGGTGTTTATTACATCAAGCCCGACTCTTTCATTTTCAGAACGCAAGAATGATCCCCCTTCCTTATCAGGGTGTTATTTGACTGACAGTGCCTACGCTCGCACTAGGGGAGGAGGTGTGTTAATAGTTGGTGCTTTTCATGTCTCCAGTGGGGGTCCTGGTCGCTGGTCGGGGGGGACAGGGCTCCCCCTCTCCACCTCTCTCACCCCGTTGCGGGCTGCTCGAGAACTTTGCAAGTCTCCTCAGACACTGATCTGAGGTTCCACCCCGTGAGAAATTCCTGCAACATCTTCCTAAGACAATGACTGGCCCTTCCATGCATGAAAACACTTCACCTTTACAATTTCCCCACCCAACCCTCTGTGCTTTTCTCTTCCTTTCTTGTCATCTGCTGCTTAATTGTTGCTCTCAGCTACATGTTCAGTCATACCATCAGCACTGAAGACAACGTAATTCACGTCCCCCATCACGAACACGAGCTCTCTATCATTTCCCTGAGTGCGAAATCCTAAATGTGCAATATGCAGTCCACTTTCCCACATTCACAACCTATAACACTTTTCCGCAAACTGGAAAAAATGATTCGGAACAACTGATTGAGCTTGACGTACAATGGCTTTATTAAGTTATCATAAGATCCAGTGACTACTGAATACTCAGTAATCTTACATCTACACATCTTTGTGCGCTTGTATAATTACCATACAAGATCACCAAGAAACACACAGTTTGGTACAATTAAGTTTTTAACTGGACAAAAATATCACTCTCTCACCCACCACGTCCTGTTCTGACTAGGGAATGTGCCATGGTTCAGATCTCCGATTTTCGGAGTTGCTTCATTGGTTGCGCGGTGTCGAGATGTCCCCCTCTTGACAAAGTTATGGCAGCACCCGATGTTGCACGCATCATCCCCCGGCACTGTCTACCGTCCCACAAAGCCGGTCCCGGTAAGTGTGGCAGCGTTCGCCCCGGAGCAGGGTTAAACTTCCTCACCACCCACCGCTCCCACCGTTCCGCATTTACACATTAAAGATCCCCCATCTACAACGATGAAAACTTGTGAACGAAACGCCCCCCTCCCCCCACTCATCCCCTCCCACCCCCCCCACCAACCACCCACCCAACCCAAAAACACCAAACAACAAAAAACAAAACCAACAAAAAAAATGAAGAAAAACCCACCAGTAAAAAAAAAATATAAACCATAACAATTCCCCACGGGGGGAGGGGGGGGGGGGGGTGGGGGGGGGGGGGTGTTGGGGGGGGGGTGTTTGCCAACATTATGTCCACCAAAAACCACACCCCACACCCCAAACAGAACTAAAATTAATACAAACATATCCACACCAAAATAAACACCAAACCCTCCGCACAAAAAGTAAAACCCCCCCCCTCCCCCCCCCCTACCCACTGTTCGAAAACCTCGGGGGGGGGGGGGGGCGTGGGAGAGGTGGGGGGCGGGGGGTGGTGGCGGGGTGGCTGGGTGGCGGGGGTGGGGGCGACACAATCAAATACAAAAAAAGATAAAAAAAAATCCCGCCTCAAAACTGCGGCCCCAGCCGTATTTCAAAAGTAAGGAAATGACCTCTATACGTACCCAGCTACTTCTCGCTTTCCAGCTCCTTTGTTTTCCCTCCCCCCCCCCCCCATCCTCCACCCCCCCCCTCCTTTTCCTTGGGAATATACAGAGCCGGTTGCACACGGAACACAGAAACTCAAACGATTGATTGCTGCATTTTCAGCTATGCCGATTGCGAAAGTCCAGACGTGTGTTCGTGAGCCTGCCATTCCACGAGTGAGGCTGAGACCATCAACATACACTGCTTCAACGTCGTCCATGTTATTGATCGCAACGGCTTCGTTGGAACCGTAGCCGTAGCCCACAATCTTCCCACAGACTTTGCTGTATTCTCTGCCAACCTGAAACGTTGCGGAGTCACAAAAGGGCATTGTGGCGCTGCTACTGACACTCATCCCCCCACAAAACTGTCTCCCACTGTCCATAACTGGCACCCAATCTCCTGGACAGGTGTTTCCTCCTACCAAACAGTAGTCTTCCTTCACCACACGCTCCCAAACACCATCCCCACACGGGTGGATGGGACCTTTTATCTCTTCAAGAACCGACTCTGCAGTTTCGACACAAGATTCGATGTCATCGAGTGCCGACTCCAAAGAATCGACGTGATCGTCTAGACTACCTGCCGAGCTACTGGACAGTGTCAGGAGCTCAGAAGCGGAGCATTCTGCGCCACTCAGCTGCAGTCTGAGAGAGTTGTAACCGTACTCGAGGAGTTTGAATGTCGCGTGGATCTTGTTCAACTGCTTGTCTTGGTGGCTGTACTCATTCCCTAGTGTCTCCATCATCTCGAGGATCTCATCCAGAGCATCTGACACTGGAGGAGGAGACAGCTGCTATATAACACATTACACTGTATTGATGGAAGGCACATTTCTTACCATCTTGATCAAAAGAGTCCTGGAGGGAGCATGGCACGAGAGACAAAAGGAGACCAGCCAATAAAAGATGACGAAACATTGCTTTTGAACTCTGAGCTGCAGTATAACGTTTTACAATCACCTTTTGTGACTCTGCCTTACACCTCAGCAGAGTGCCTTGTTTAAATAGAGTGAGTCTAGTCTTCACTACAGCCAGTGAGAGAAGCATGTGGTTCTACACGCGGTTACTGGGACAGGTTGGTACTGGAAGTCCTACAGTCCCTTCATTAATAAAATTTCACAGTTATAGGTAGTCACAACATTTAGTTAACACAGAATAACGCCTGCTATTATATTAGCATGGACCCACGCAGTGCACATCTATTATACCAGTCGTGCCAATTGAATGTTTGTGTATGACAAAGGACAGTTGGTTGACCTGTCTTATAAAAAATTTTTTGCCCACACTAAATTCTGCACTCCTCTTCTAAGCGATGGTCAAGGAGTTCAGGACGGTCGACAAACCAGTGTCTTCTCTGTCATCATGAGGGTTTGCTCTTCAAGATGGTTGTTTGGCCTCTCCTTCTCTTCAACCACCCACAGACAGGCCACGCCAAATCGAGGTAGGCCTGTCCTTACCTTAGGGACCTACGAAAATTTATGTCACCCTATTTTGACTTCATATGGACTGCTCTGCACTCTCTGCTTTAGTCAAGGTGTTATGGATGGTTGGAAGGCCTGTATCCCCCCAGATGTCTATAGGTTCCATAGTGTCTGATTCATATAGGATCAACACTGATGATTAACTGGGCAGTAGGCAGCCACATTTCAAAGACATAGTGACCGAGACACGTCAGTGCTATGCAGTAACTAACTAAAACACTAACCAAGTTAGTTGTTGCTAACCAACAATGTCTTCTTCGTGATTGATTGCATGCCAATGAGAATCTTGCCAAGATATCAAGTCACGTAGCGCTATAGCATGTGTTGCTTCACCATGTTCTCCTAGACATGCGTGAAAACCCCATCGCGTTACCCATTTCTTGGCTTATTTCTTTCCAGCTTGCACGATGAAGAGCTATAGAAACATAGCTTTTCAGTGATCCGCAACTCACACTTTAAGGTTCGCCCAGACATATATACATCTCTCCTAGTCCTCGTAAGATACGGAGGACAAGACTCACACAGCATAATGTAAAATTTCAGGTAACTAGCCTGCCAGTATGGCTTTGGGCTAGCTCCTTCATTTTCATACAATTAATATTGCTGTATGAACAAAACCAACCAGGAAGGTATAAAAAGTGACACAAAATAGTGGTCTAGATTTGTTATTATCCTACAATAGTTTTGCGACCCACCCAAATTATACACACTCACATACATACACACACACACACACACACAGACACAAAGCGGCTGGCTTGAGTCCCTACTTCCCAGTCTGAGTGACCAGCAGAACAACCACCAAGATCACTGCAATGGCCACCACATTCCCCACCACCACCGGCACTATGTACTTGCTGTATCACCTGCAGGTTCACCACATAGATGGATACCAACCTGGGACCACTGTTATACTGAGTAAGGAGGCCAACTAACTAAAACTGCATACCATACACATACGTAGCTAGGAATCTCACTTGATTTCTGCCCAGAGACAAGCAAGGGAATAGTTTTCTCTGCGTCGAGATGGCGCTCCGAGAAGACTAGACTTGGAAATGGCATCTTCAGTTCTATAATCGCCGTCAACAGCGCCTGGCGACGTATCCCCGGGTACACCGTCTACCTCCATCTTGGTGAGCCTTATTTGGAATTGGCGAGATTGCGTAATCTGAATAATCTTACTCAAGCCGTTCCCAACAATAATTTCATACCAAAAAGTACATCAGCAAAGCTCAGATATAAGAAATGCAGCTAGTCAGTCATCGAGTCCGTTGTCCTTGGCAACGGGAGTGGGGGAGGGGCTGCCAGACCTCATCTCCTCATCTTGAGCTGGAGAACCACTCTTCCCCTTGTCTGGTGACTTGGAACGGGGACGCTCTTTCTTGGGGGAACGGCTCCGGGACCTGCTGCGAGAGGCCTGCTCATCTTTCCCAGTCTTGGTGGTTCCGTCGACAGGAGACTTGCTGCGAGAACGAGAGCGTCTCGTTTCCGATCCCTCCTTTGACTTGGAGCGGCTCCGAGACCTCCTCCGACGCTCTCTCGGGGACTTTGACCTCGAGCGAGACTTGGACCTGGAACGAGACCGGGATCTGGAACTGGACCGACTGCGGCTCCTGTCCCGAGATCGACTCTTGCTTCTGTCCCTGGAACGTGAGCGCGACCTGGAACGAGATCTTGAGCGGGGGGATCGACTGTGTACCGATCGATGTGAGTGAGTGAGTGGAAGAGAGAGTATAAAACTAATTGGTATAACTATACGAGAGCAGGACAATCTCGTGTTATTTCCAGTAAAACCCTGTGGGTCATCAACTAACCTCCTGCGACGAGAGGAGCCAACTCGTTCCTCGATCAGCCTCAGCTTGCGACCATTCAACTCAGTTCCGTCCAACTTCCTGATGGCACTCTTCATGTCCTCACGAGATGCATACTCCACAACTCTGCAATAAATGCCCACATACACATAACTTGCAAGACCTATTTAATGCCCACCCTTGTCTAAACCTAAACGGCAGTTAAGAGCTCTTTAGAAGCCGAGCCCTCATGAATTCTGGTTTATTCGAACACACGGACACAAAAGTAGGTCGGCTTCATACCCTTCTCCAACTCTCTGCTTGTGTGCGTCGGCATAGGTGATCTCCCCGGCCTGGCGCATGAAATCCTTCAGGTCCTTTGGCAAACAACAGAAGACAGCTCAGGGCCACCAGCACAAACAGCCAGGCACAAAAACACTCACAACCAGCACATTCTACAGTCACAATTCCAGCTCCACGACTCATTTGCAAACTAACTACGCACAATTATTATGCCCACAGCATGACTAGCTAAAGCAATACTTTGAATTTGCCACAAAGGGCCTACTTAAAAATAGATTGGTCAGTCACATGTTTCAACCATGGCCAAGATCACTATGATAGGTGTGCAAACTAATTCCAATTAGAGCCCACCCACCAACACATTATATACAACCAAAAGAGAGTGATAAGTTGTAGACAAAGTAGGCTGGAGGTGTGGTAGAGGGAGGCCTTCTCTCTCACTCTCTCTAAGTGGCAGGCAACACCAAACACACAGGGAAGGAGGAGAAGAAGAGGGGCTTGGAGGTGTACCATCTCATCTAGCACAATCACCCAGTGTACACACATCACTACACATCCCCCAGGCTGGCTCTACCAGAGCTGGCCACATGACATCATCATGACATCATCACATGTACATCAGAGAGGACATCGCATCACACACGTACATCATCCCTCTCATCTGGCCAATACAGTGTGTAGCTCATGCCTTGGAAAGCAAGACAGAGTGTTGCAGGATTACATCACGTGCATTATTGGCATCATACATAACTAGTTAGGCCTGCCACGTAGTACAAGTCAAAAACATATCACATGTAGAAACTGACTAGTAGGTGTTAGTGCTTGCAAAGTTCTAAATGCAAGGAGTTTGGTATTAACTTTCAACACTAAAACGGTGCTGTACTGTATGTATATACATACCTGCCAGCTGACACGGCTCGAGATATTCTCCACTATTAGGCGGTGCTCTGTGCGGGTCGGTGGGCCGTACCTGGTGTGAAATAAACGGAGCAACGCTAAGTGGGGTCACACACACACACACACACACACACACACACACACACACACACACACAGGAACAGTTGTGTTTGCAGACTTACTTTCCAAGCCACACAGGATCTCGCCTGTAGTGAGGGGAGCATAACAACAGACGTTCGTACTTGGTGTGCACAACCAAACGTTTCAGCAACCCCTCCCTATCCCTGAGCGCTGCATGCAAGCAATCTATTGTCCACGACTGTATACCCTACTACAAACTACCTTTTCCCTAAGGGTAAAGCTCACCGCTATACCACTGCCTGACTACTATGTTCATGTTGTACTTTCTATATGTCACCATTGTACCAGTAGGGCTATTTACCAAAGCCAATATTAAATACACAGACTGCTCACCTTCCTCCATATCTGCCCCTGTCTCTGTCATAGCCACCTCCTCTTCCGCCGCCGCCGCCACCGCCGCCACCACCACCACCACCACCACCACCACCACCGTATTTTCCACCATAACCTGCAGAGCTCCCCCTGGCATGCTCCACTATGATCCTAGAGGACAAATGAGGAGAAAAGAATGTGTGAAAAATATTTTGAAAACCGTCTTTCTCTCACCTCTCCCCCAACATCTCTTGTCCGTTGCACTCGAAGACGGCGTCATCTGCGTCTCTGGGACTATCAAATTCCTACAAAATGGCGCCAGGGAAGTAAGGAGAGGATTAAGTTGAGGTGTTTGACAAGCAAGAAAGGGGCAGAGGATCTCACCACGAAGCCAAAGCCGTTTTTGAGATTGATGTCTCTGATGCGACCGAATCCGCGAAAGAACCGCTCCACGTCTTTCTCCTTTGCCTGGTAGGACAGCCGCCCGATGTATACTCGACAGGAACTCATGCTCTCTCAAAAGAAAGACGACTAGCACAACAGGCGTGTGCTGATACACGTATATAGCCGGCCGAAGAGCTAGCTAGGGCAGGGGAGTGCACAACGCGCATGCGCGCGATGCGCGCGTAGATATCTACATTACGTCATTCCCGCGTGCGTTGACCCTGATCTATCTCTTCGTTCGTGTGTATCTGCTGTGATTGACTGGTTGAGGTTTTCTACGGGCAGACTGTAAGCATGAGCAGAGTGTACGTGGGGAGAATCTCGTACCAAGTGCGGGAGAAAGACGTGGAGCGTTTTTTCCGCGGATTCGGTCGAATCAAGGATATCAACTTGAAGAATGGCTTTGGGTTTGTGGTAGGTCCCGTTTAGCTAGCTAAGTTTGTTTATACGTACCGTTGGTTCTCTGGTTTGCTGCAGGAGTTTGATGATCCAAGAGATGCAGATGATGCCGTCTATGAGTGCAACGGACGGGAACTAATGGGTGAAAGGTAATTGAGCCAAATGAACAGGTGTCAGATATGTAATGGGCCTTCTTACAAACTGATTGCGAGACATAGCAGTGCGCGTTTGTAGCACTTTGTTGTGTATCTTGAAGGCACAAGAAGTCACAACGAAGGGCGTGTATCGACTCCCGCCTGCTATCTACTACTGTAGCTAGCCTGTGTCAGACTCTCTGCCAGCTACTAGCGGGAGACCACGAGTAAACGCATACTACTAATAGCCCAGCCCATCAATAAGCGGTACCACGCATGCGCAGTTCGCCCAGGGTTTGCACTTTAGTGCTTTTCATTCTTACCTGCAACAGAGTTGACGAATTATACAGGTTGCTACCAGTCATGTTATCTCTCTGTCCTGCCAGGCTCATTGTGGAGCATGCCCGGGGCAGTTCTAGCTTCAGGGGTGGAAGCAGGGGAGGAGGAGGAGAAAGAGGAGGAGGAGGAGGAGGATGGGGGAGGGGAGGCGGGCGGCACGAGAACAAAGGGTAACTCATTGCTCTGTGTGTGTATATGCATCTGGTTGAGTTGGTTAGTTACTCAATGGACACTGGCAAGAAGCACAATGTAATGGTGTGCTAGCTCTAGGATTGCTGGTTGTGTATCTATCTATGTTGCTGGTGAGGTTTGCTCGTGGTAAGATGTGTCTATAAGCCATTCTGTGTTGTTTATCTCCAGATATGGACCCCCTACTAGAACTGAGCATCGCCTTCACGTCGAGAATATTTCGAGTCGCGTGAGCTGGCAGGTTAGAAAGAAATTCACACCTAGTTACATGTGCATTTGTGAGGCATGCAGCGGTGGAATGTTTGAGGTTTTAGCCGCGAACGACCACATTAATTCACAGAATACTTGTCTTTAGGTGGCGTGAATTGGTTCAAAAGTGTTTTGGTGTTGTTCATTAGGCTCTTAATTGCAGGGGAGAAGGGGGGGCTGCTTCAGCCTAGTGTGTCCACTACTCACACTTACTCTGACTATTTTGTTTGCTTTCCAAGGCATGCTAGTGGCCGAGTGGCACACTGTGCCGTGTCCCACTCTCTGTCTCTCTCTCGGTCGGTCCGTTGGTCGGTTGGCCCTCTCTCTCTCGTGTGCCGTGTGTCTCTCCCGGCAATGGCTCTGCGACGTTGTTTAGGGTCCCCTGGTCTCTCTCTCCCTGTCCGGCTGGCCCTCTGGGACTTTGCCTCCCTATGGACTGTCCTCTAGAGCACATCTCCAGCCTCTAGAGTGTCTCCGTAGATCCCGCCTCTCTCTCGGGCTCTCTGTGGCTACCCACCCTCCCTCCCTACCTCCCCCCCCCTCCCCTCCTCTCTCTTCCTCTTCCTATATCTCCCCTTTTCTCTCTCCCTCTTTCGTCTACTAACTACCCCTTTCTCTGGGACCTGCTGACTGCATGGACTCACACAAGACTTTGAGTAGCTTATGTTCTCACTCTTGGACTAGAGTCTGTGTTGTCATTCTGACTCTGAGTATGTGACTTAGAGAGCTAACAGGTGGGCATTAGCTAGAATAGCTACTTGCTACACATAGTAGCAGTGCAGTGTTAGTGGTGTAGTTAAACTTGCCTCTGTTGCTGTCTGCCGTGCTAAGTAGCATTGCATGTTGCTGCATCATTTCTCTACCTGTGATGGCTTCACACGACTGTGCACACTGTGTCACCACTGAAGGACCTGAAAGACTTCATGCGCCAGGCTGGAGACATCACCTATGCTGATGCCCACAAGACCAGAGTTGGAGAAGGGTACGTCGCTTTCCCTATATGTCACTTTTGGGTCTCTAACTGTCTTGCTTGTAACTGTTGAGCTAAGGTGTTTCTTTTGGCAATTTCTTTCCCTGCAGCACCGTGGAGTATGCATCTCGTGAGGACGTGAAGAATGCTCTCAGGAAGTTGGACGGAGCCGACCTAAACGGTCGTAAGCTGAGGCTGACGGAGGATCGCGGTGGCCACTCTCGCCACAGAAGGTCAGTCACTATTCATAGAGTACATCTTCAGTTATGACTTGTCCTCGTCTTCTTCTACAGCCGCTCTCGTTCAGGGTCGAGGGATCGCCGAAGGTCAGAGTCGAGGTCAAGGTCGCGCTCTCGCAGCCGAGACAGGGGCAGGTCTCGCTCTCCTGACTCCAAGTCCCCCGGAGACGACAAGAGGGGGAGGAGTCGTAGCCGCTCGAGGTCGAAGGATGGATCGGAAACGAGACGCTCACGTTCTCGCAGCAAGTCTCCTGTCGACAGAGCCACCGAGACTGGGAAAGATGAGCGGGCCTCTCGCAGCAGGTCCCGGAGCCGTTCCCCCGAGAAAGAGCGTCCCCGTTCCAAGTCACCAGACAAGAGGAAGAGTGGTTCTCCAGCTCAGGATGAGATGAGGTCTGGCAGCCCCTCCCCCACTCCCGTTGCCAAGGACAACGGACCCGAGGAGTGATTTTTTAATCAAAACTGTGAAAAACTTTGATTGTAACAGTACAATACTACTTTGTTTCCCTCCTCATTAATTTTTTCTCTGAAGGCGCGCGCGCTGGTGCCACGTGTTCAGGTGTGTACGCATGCGCGTATGGGACGAGTGAAAAGGTGCGCGGTTATTCGAGAGTGTGTTTGTTTGTCTCGACCTTGTTGACAGCGGTGTGGCGGAGGATCGAGGAGGATGTCGGGAGCCTCGTCCGCCCCAAGAGTAGAGGAAATTATCCTCGAGAAAACGGCAGCCGGTATTGACTGAGTGGATGTTGTCTTGTTAGGTTGAGCAGTGACTGTGTGGGAGATTCCCTGCCTAAAATTGTGTGGCGTCTGTAGAGCCTGAAACGGTGCACTAATCCATCCTTTGTGATGTTCTTATATGCAGGAGAATAAAGATCTAGCTCAACTACAACCTTTCCTCTCCCATTGATTTTACTAGTTAGCTATAGCTTACTGTATATCTTGCTCCTAGCTCCACTGATAGTATCTGTACGTATTACATCACGGTAGGTCTGGGTTTCAACATCAGAGGAGGTACAGACAACAAGCACGTGGGCACCGACCCGGGGATCTTTGTGACCACCATAAGACCGGCTGGAGCTGCTGCTGTGGACGGGAGACTCCAGACTGGCGACAAGATCATAGAGGTTGCTATATAGCTGACCATTATATCACTTTATGTATGACATGCTTACCATTTCTCCCTCTTTAATCTACTCCAAAGATACCGTAGTCTATGTTTTCACCAGAGGGTTGATTTCAGATCAGCCACTAAACCAGCCATTCCGAGGTTCATGGCACTGTCTATTTCCCAGTGTCTTGTGAATGTATGCAACAAAGCAGAACTATTGTAGATGTTTTTTGAGTCGTGAAGTGGCTGAGTAGCTATATTGGGGGTGGCTTTTGTCATGAGGCATTCACACAATTGGAGCCTAACGTGCAACACTGGGAGGGTGTGTGTGTGTATGGTTATGTGGAATGGCAGCTGATGAGGATTGTGGAGTGTACAGTTACTGTGGGAGGATAGTAATGTGTGTTGCTTGTTCCTATGATAATCACCATGAAATACTATCCTGACATTCAATAGTACTATATAGCTATGTAGTTGTTTGACAATGTGACATGTAGATGTATAATTTGGGGTTTGCCTTTGCTCTACTGGAGGCTAAGGCGGTCTGTATAGACTGCGGGGTGTTGTGGGTTCGAGTCTCCCCCAGGGCAGCTCTAAAAAAGTGTTGTCCTAGGTGTTGCTGCACGTGACTATTTGCTGTTTGTATGGAAGTGAACTGACAGTTGCATGTTTCCTCCCATGCAGTTGAATGGAGAGGATTTGAGAGCTGTGCCACACAAGAGAGCAGTGAGTGCCTTCCACAGGTGCGGAGAGACCATCACTCTACTGGTGGAGAAGGGAGCCGAGCAGAGAATCAGAGTCAGTCTTTTGTCCGTCATGAGTGTGTCTCCCTTGTGAGAAGCGGTCGTTGCGTGTGTTGTGGCTTCAGTGATGCTAGTCTCTCATCTGCACACAACTACGCCTAGTCTTAGAGGCTGGATGGACACATTGTCTAGACTGCTTCTTCCCCTTACATTGTCCACCAACACTATGGACGTACGATGCAGTGCCTCCAAGCGTTCACGGAAAAAGTGCCTTATTTACTGGTCAAAATAGAAGAGAAGAAAAACCTGTAGCGAGTACTATGAGTTTTTATAACGCAGAAATATGCTGCTACAGTACAGAGAACATGAAAAGCACTAAAGTGCAAACCCTCGGCGAACTGGGGATGCGCGGTACCGCTAATTGATGGGCTGGGCTGCTATTAGTATGCGTTTACTCGCGGTCTCCCGCTAGTAGCTCACAGAGAGTCTGACACGGGCTAGCTACAGTAGTAGATAGTATGCGAGAGTCGATACACGCCCTTCGTTATGACTTCTTGTGCCTTCAAGATACACAGAGCAAGCGGACCTGGTCGAGGTTAAAAATATAAGCGCATGCGCGTTTTCCGCAGCGATAAAATGGCCGACTACGCATTAGCCGCAGAATGCCGGAAGCGCTCTACATAGCTTTGCAACGGAGCAGTTTCAGAGAAAACCCCACAAATTTTCTGACCTTCATCGCCCGTTGGGTAGATGGTATCCTTTGTGAGACGAAGGAACACTCGAGAAGTGAGATGAAGAGTAACGGACACACAGACAGACAGACACACACACCCAACTACAGTACCCTCGCTGCGCATGCGCGCCGAGGGTAATTATGACATGTGTGCCATACTCACCATGAACCCTCTCTCCCTCCTTCCCTCCCTCCTCCCTTTCCCTGCATGTCCCACAGGATCAGCAGCAAGTTGAGAGTACTCCCAATACCATCACTCCTCCACAGGACGACGAAGAAGATGAACCACAAGTAAGCTTGTCTCCGTGTAGCAGTGGGACCTCTGAACAAGGGACACTACGGGGCCAACAATTTTGTACTTTGTAGAGAGGTTGTCCCTATCTCAGAGGTAAAATAGTACACTAAAGTAGCATGGGGTTGATATAAGTGTACGTTGTGTATAGAGAGGTTTTCCCAATCTCGGAGGGTCCCTATCGGAGGTTCCACTGTACTTATATTTCATCCCCTCACCTCCATCTTCCAGGCTAACTCTCTAGTGGTCCTGATAAAGCAGTGGTACTGGTTGCCTCTGCTGTTGGGAGGAGTCAGTATCCTACTCCTCTACGTCAGAAGACGTCCAAACTCATTCCTCTCCAGACTGTTTCGACGGCGGTAATACCCTCCCTCCCCCTGCTCTAAACCAAGGGAGTGTTCTCCAGAGGATGTCGTCTGCCCAATGTCAACCTAGTTCATATCGTAGAAGCTGATATATATATATTATGTTTGTGTTATCATTATTCGTGGATTTTGTTGTATACTACAATGCCATTGTGTAGTTTTCGGTTGTCTCTAATTATGTGAACGCCAAAGTAATTTTGAAGCGTTTGGGGCGTGGCCTCCCAGCGTTTTCTCGCTTCATTTCTTGCACAGCGGCGCAGTAGACCGTAGGCGTGAAGGCTTGGAATTCCGAGCCAAACTGTAGTCACCACAAGTGCTTTCCAGAGGCTATAGAAGCAGAGGATCATGAGTAAGTCGAGTAAGTCGAGTTGGGGAGCCGACCCTTCTTGCGGTGTGCTCCTTTTGGAGATCATGGTCTCAAGGTTGTGTTGTGTTTCCCCGCAGGTGCCGCTTCCTGGGTTAGTTTTTTCAGAGATGCTGGGATTCCGTATTCCTTGGCCAAAAGGTGAGCCGTAGTTCGTGTGGTCTTGGTGTTGCCGCGAGTGCGAGCAACAACACCGTGGCAGGCCAGCTTGGGGTTGGTGTTGACCTGTTGCCTAGTTACAGACATGCAAACAAAAATTGTAGCATTGTGTATTTCTCTATCCCACCTTCCCCCTCTGTACCTTTCTATATACCTCATCCTCCCCCTTTTACTCAGCTATGCCTCGACATTTGAGGAGAATAGGATTGGAAAAGACATGCTGTTAGACTTAGACAAAGTAAGTAAAGTACATGTACAGTACATGCAGTACACACACAGTACTGTTGCAGTGTTAGTATCTTGTCTTTCTTGTCTCAGATGGTAGGCTGATTGCTAAAATCCGCCCACCTCTGGTGTAGAATTCCACACCCCATACTTACACCTGTGACTATATACCATCAATGTGCACTGTGTGTTTGTTGCAGGATATACTAGGTGACATGGGAATCAAGGTAATGGGTGATGTCATTGGGATTCTCAAGCATGCAAAAAAGGTAAGATGCTATATATAGTAGCCTATTATTGCATTTGATATGGGAAGTGCATGATGTGAGGGTGTATACTGGCACACAAGACTACGGGCGAACGTGGGGCAAGAGACTGTTGCGACCAATAAGAGTGCACACTATGAGTTAGGCATTTCAAAGTGTAAAATTCCATTTAATGCACACTTTGCCCATCGTACAAAACTCTGGGAAAAGGGTCTGTTGCGGTGTATGTATATAAGAGTTTATTAGAATGGTGTATTCACATGATCTCCAGGAGGCAAGGAAGGACTCTAGTGGTGCCACAGTATCTGGTACTACCTCCTCCAAACACAAGTCATCGTCTGCAGTTCATTCGACTCAGAGTGCCCCTCAGGCCCCAGCCGTCTCCACCACCAGCTCCCCTCTCCATGACCACTGTTAGATACCTCTTCTCTCTTCTCCCTCTGGCTTTCGTGTTTTGTTTTGCCAAAGTAGTAGTCATAACTAGTGCTGTGGGGGAAATACCAGCGATGGATAGTAGGTGTGCGAGTGTGTTTGATGTAAAGCTGCTTTCTTGCTAACCTGGCGCAGCAGAGGGGTTCAGAGGCGATCGCATGAAGGGGGGGAGGGGGGAGGAAAAGAGAGGGAGGAAGGAAAGGAGGGGGGAGGGGCATGTACATATGCATACAGTATGTAGGTGTGAACTCATGTCAACAGCAAAGTCTTGGAGTGTGTATACTACAGTGGTTGCATACACTGCGCAGGTGAAGAAGGGTATCTGGGTGTGGTTGGTCTGATGGAGTACCAGGATGAGAGGGAGCCGGAGCATCTGTCACTGGAGGAACACACTCTCCAGCCAGGTTGGCTCCATTAGGCTCTCTGATATTTGGCCACGTTTGTCTATATAGTGTCTCACTTTTCAGACGTTATGTAGGTGCACTTTGCAATGTGTGCTGCAGAATGATGGCAGTCAAGTGTTACCCAATGCTACATGCACTCTACTATGCAACACAGTTTCCCAACCATTCCTCAATGAAGAAAAATGTCTGAAAGGACATCAATGCATACGTTTATGATCTGTGCATCGTGTGACCTATATACATACATATACCAAACTTATGGGCCGTTGGTTCCGCAAATTATTTAAAAACCACTGTGTGAGACTCTACTCCACACACACACACACACACACACCATTAGTGGAGCCGGAGTTCACAGCCCTGCAATCTGACCTCATCCAACAAGTAGTGGCAGCCGTGACTCAGCAGCAGCAAGTTCAGCAGCAGTGCCAGGAGGTGGTGGAGGAGGAGGGAGAGGGAGCGAGGGAAATAGTCAACCCTGCTCTCCTTGGGATAGAGGTACAATGAACTGCATGTGGCTGAGGTGTTCTTATTGTCATTTCTTGCCGTCACCAGGATGAATTTCAGGAGGAGTACGTTACTGAGGCCTACAAGAGACAACAGCAAAAGGTGACTTGTTGCAACTAGTATTGAGTGACTCTTCTGCAAACCCTACATTACACAATACTCTGGTAAACTAAAAACTTGCACAGCTGTGTTATGGTGGCGAAGACCACTTTTCCACACAAACAGCGGTAGTATGATACTGTACTGTATAACTGTGACAAAAAATTTCATTAAACACTTGAAGTCAGAAAAGCACTAAAGTGCAAACCCTCGGCGAACTGCGCATGTGCAGTACCGCTAATAGATGGGCTGGGCCTACTCGTGGTCTCCCGCTAGTAGCTCGCGGAGAGTCTGATACGGGCTAGCTACAGTAGTAGATAGTATGCGGGAGTCGATGCATGCCATTTGTTGCGACTTCTTGTGCCTCCAAGATGCACAGAGCAAGCGGACCGGTCTAGGTAAGCCTGTGCTAATTTGGCAGAAAACGTGGTGACAGACAGACAGACGGACGGAATGACAAACCGAGTACCAGACAGCATTGCTTAAAAAACAAAAATGGCAGTGCTTTGAATGCGCACGTTTTCGACATCTGCACACACTACTGTAACCCTCGCTGCACATGCGCGCCGAGGGTTAAAAATGCGCACACCATAAACCATGAAAACTGTTCTACTTTTCTGTTTAATTTTTTCACAACTCCCCACACCTATGCATACATGACACGCACCATTACAGAGAGCACTGGGCAGTCTCTACTCAGACTCCGTGTTCCAAGAGGCTCCTCAGTCGAAACAACCTCGTCTCATCATCCTCCCGCAGGACGATGCTAATGAAGTGGGCGGAGTCACAGAGGACCTGCAGATCCTGGCCACTCCTCCTCTGGGCGGTGAGACATCCAGTCGCAGACTGCTGGAAGCTGCTGGTAGGTCTCACATCGTGTCCCGTACACTGTTACATTCTAACAAACTCATTTCTGTAATGCAATGTGCAGTGTGTGTGTGGCTATGGACCACAGTATTGTGCATGCTCCCAGAAAACATTTTGACTCTCATTATCATTGCCTACTGTGCAGGGCTTGTGAAACGAGGCGAGCACATCCACGTTCCTTCCTCGGAGAAACCTGCAGTGTCCAGCTCTGCCTCTGTCTTCTCGAGATTAGACGGGAAGGGCAGGGGCTCACCCCCACTCAAGACCTACCTCCCACCCCCCTCGTCCTCCTCCACCAACACTGCCACCTCCCCTCCCCATCAGCGCAAGAGAACTGTAGTGACGGCTGCCAGTCCGAGTCCCCAGAAATTGGGGCTGCAGGTGACTGCCAGGGATGGTAGGAGAGTCAGTACAACACCCACCAGTGGTGCTATCAGGTCCACTGGCTCTGCTAGCAGGGCAGGAAGTGGGGGAGGTGGGGTAGTTAGGAGGTCCAAGAGAGAGTCTTCCGTTGGGGGATTGGTGAGCTCCAGCTCCAGTTTCGCTGCCAAGGAGCCTGTCAAGAGCCGTCTCGGTGCAAGGGAACACGGAGGTGGTGGTGGGTACGGGGGGAGTGAAGGCTGGACCAACACAGTCTCCACATCCAGCCACAGCGGCCGTATGTCCACACGACTCGGTGGCGGTAGTGGTCACAGAGAGTCGACCGGTCCTGCTAAGAGGACTCGTCACACAATGGTAGCTGACTCGGCCACCAACCCCCCACCCAAGGCCAGCTCAAGACTCGGGGCTGGACACAAGAGCTCCACCTCGTCACTGTCTGCTGCTGTGGTGTCCAGTGCCACTAGGACCAGGGACCTCGTCAGGAGGAGCGGGAAGGTGAAGACGTCGTCTCCGTCCATGAAGGCAGACGAGTACGAGATGAGGAGACAGCTGGACATCAGGAGTCGTCTAGCGGCCAAGGAGAAGGAAGTGGAGCAGAGGAGGAGTGGGGGGGTGTTAAGAGGACGTCTCGGCCAGCACCATGTCTTCATGAGACTCACTTGAGAATAGTATGTATATCGAGTTTTGTATAATTATCCAGTACATGATTCGGAATATTATACTGTTCTATTGCTATTGTAATGTTTTGTAAACCTTACATATACTTGCAATGTTCATGGCGCACAGCCTTGCAATTGTGGTTGCTAATAGAACCATGCATGGGACAGCTCACAGTGTGCTTTGACTGTGTTTTACTATGGAGCACACTAACTCAATGGCTTTCTGACAATGACTTGTGGTAAAATGAAAATGGTATATGTTATGCCTGTGTGTATACAGGTTCGCATATACAACGGAGGCGCGCGTTTAGAAACGATCAGAGCATGCGCGTGTAGATACTTGGGGGTGTGGCTCCAATGCGAGCTAGCTGGAGGGAAGCCACGATGCCATGGATCCAGACGCTTATCTCAAGAAACACCACCTGCTTACCTACGTAGAGGACGCTGTGTGCCTGCTCTTGGCACGCAAAGACGAAGACCCCAAAACTAAACCGTTTCAGCTTCTCGCCGGCTACTTCAAAAGTGTCCTGGATGACTCCCAAGTTGTCTTTCGAGAGTACAACTTCATCTCTTCCACACCTCGCAACAGAAAGGCCTTTGTTAGACTTATCTGGCAGACATACAGCGGCGTACCAGAGGCTAGAGAGCCCATGAGGCTGGCTGAGCTACACTCGCTCGTCCGACTCCTCTGTGCTGATTTTCCTCTCGGGGAAACGGAAAAGGTGGCACTGCATGAACACAGCGGAGCTGGAGGAATCTTATCTTTCCCAGACTTTATGTACACGTTTCAAATAACCTTTTACTTTGACTGTTTCCTGGGACACCTCAAGTCCATGTTGCCAGGTCTACTAACTGGTGCCTACATCCCGCCACTATATGGCCAGTTCACAGCAGTGGTGGTACCTCTCCCTCCTGCACCAAATAACACATCTTCAAACAGTCCTTCCAGCACTTCGAAATCCATCCATGGTGTGGAGACTGAGGCCAATGAAGCTAAAGTATGCAGCAGGACTGTTGAAGGTGGTGTATTCCTTGAGGCAGCGTTGGGACTGTGTCGTAGAATGGGGGAGAGAGAGCCAGGACAGAGCTACCCAAGCCAAGAAGCCTTGAAGGAGGTGCTGAGTGGGGTAGAGCAGCTATCACTCAATGAGTTCGTAGTAAAACTCTCACTGAGTGAGACTATCAACAGAGAGATTGGAGTGCTACCTGTCTGCAAACGGATTTGATTTTTGGCGCAGATTAGTGGACGCGCATGCGCACATCCAAACATCCGGACACACATGCGCGAGAGAGCTAGCTCGAGTGCCGCAGATGGAGAGCGGTATTTCTTATCGTGTCCCTCCTCGCCATGGCTCTCCACCGGCGGTGGCGACTGCTCATTGGGACGAGCCGGACTTTATAACGGCGACGGACGTCCTCCCCGTCCGAGTGCCCCTGGAGAGAGTCGAGATTGGTCGGCACAGGTACGTGGCCGGTGAGCTGGGGGACCTGGAGCTGGTCTACGAGCTGGAGTCCTCCGTTCTGTCCGTCAACTGCGGCGTTAGTGGACTCGACGGAGCCTCTCTTCCGGCATCGTTCCGAATCATGGACATTTCCGCCGCTGACTTGTCGCTAGTGACTGTGATACCGGGCTCACTGGAGAGCATGGTAGTCAGACTCATGTTGGAGACAGAGGAACCCGTGCAGTGCCTCGTACGGTCGTCCAGCGGAGAACAATCCGAGGAAGCTTCTCCCCCAAAACCCACAATCACATCCACTGAAAGGACGAAGGAAGACGATGGTGATCCCACGACAAAGGAAGAAGAGAGAGTGCCACAGGTAGTGAGGAGGGTGCACAGTCGTATAGTGATCGCGACGGCTTCGGTTCACGAGGCGGGCCACTTACGAGACGTGCTACTGTTCCTAAAGGGAGGCTACACAGGGAAGGTGTCCCCCAATGCCATGTTCCTCAATCCCAAAACACCAGCTGCAAAAGAAGAAACAGACGTGGCAGTGTCTCTTCAAGGAAGTACAGAAGATCAACCAGAACCCGTCACCAGCAGCATTACATTTCTAGAGTCCCTTCCGGTGTGGGCTCGCTATGTCCCGTGGTGGGTGTACTCTCGAAATGTCCGAATCTCCATACAGAATGTCCTCTTTCTCTACTCCCTGTTCTCCGTGGTGTGGGCTCTCTGGCAACTCTACCGAAACGTACACATCATTCAGCACGTCTTGGAGCCCATCATTGCCGGTGTGAAGGAGGTATACCTGGCGTCAGTCATAGAGGCATTTGACTTGTGTCTGGCAATGTTTACAGAGTTCTGGATGCGCTATCTTAGCCCACTGAACGTCTTACAAGCTTTGCTGCTCACTCCAGTCCTACAGGTAATGGTGCAGGTCAAAAGCATTTTCCTACCGCTTGGAAGGTTCCTTTACTATATTCTGCTGGGTTTCTGGCAGTGCCTACCCAACACACAGATCTTAGCCGCACTCAAGAACCTCTTCACCGGAGTGTACGGTGTTGTTGTTGTCTTTGGGCACGGTCTGTGGGACATGCTCGGTAACCTAACGAGGCCAGTCCAACTAATTTGGCAGGGGATCCTCAATTCTCGCATTGCCGTCGGTTCACTTGACCTGAACAGAATAAAGTTGTCGTGGGTCATCAACTTGATTGTGAGTAGTTTCAGAGCCATAGGGAACGGAGTGGCCAAACTGTGTGGGTACACATCGAGAAGACGCAAGTTGAAGATGGCAAAGCAACACCCATACACGTCGCCTGTGAGACAGACACGGTCGTCATCAGTGCACCCACTTACACCGGTCTACTATAGTTCTCCTCTGGCCAAGGCTAGCCCTACATAGCATGAAATTATAGTTCATAGCATACCAGCCATAGGTAGCATGTATACCAATACCTCACCTGCCTTCACTGTGTTTTGATCTCACCATATGTAAAATGATTTTTATCGCCGCATTTGAGGTTTGTAGTGTATCCGTATTCAAATGTATACATATATATATGTACTTTACCATCCACAGAGTTGTTATGTCCTCCCTCCACATTTCTGGGATGCCAGGGTGTACACAACCTTCAGAGGGCATGGTTAATAGCTGAAAACAGGGAGTCTTTTGAGGGAGAAAATTACCGCAATTACAATCTGCCTCTTCAGCTGTATACACAAACAGATCTCTCCCCTTAAAATTTCATGTGAAGTATACTTAAACCGCGAAATCACTCTCCATCGAATGTTCCCAACTGTACTGTTAAAGGTACACCTCGCGAATTATTTACCTTGCGTAACAAAACGGGAAACCAGAAATGCATGTCTGCATCAATAAGAGCAGTTGATAAGTTAGGCACGAACAGCTGACTGTGAGAAAACACAGGGAAGGCATCACGCAAGATTGGCCCCAGAGGGAAGTGTAGTACATACATACACAATAATATTAGGCAAAGTGCAAGACACAGTAAGGTTGGAGTTGGAGGTGCGTGTTGTATGTGCGTGTGTTGGTGGTAGTCCGAGAGTTACATATTAGGAGGCTAGTTCCTGCTCCCTGCCTGTATCTTGAGCATCCCATAAATCTTCTCTTTGAGCCACTCTTTGTTGTGAGGGATGTAGGAGGCTGCGGACGGTTGGTGACTAGAGATAAAAAATAAAGATGACAGACTATTCCTACTAACTAGAAGGGGATGATGGATTGCTATGTACGAGTGTTCACTGTTGTTTGGACATGATGCGACACTGTGTGCTAAGGCTAGTCACATTATCACCGGACTTCAACGACGATATTTCACACGCTCAAGAGAACGTGGGAGAACATGGGAGAAAGTGGGGCTTACACGAGACAGCTGAGATCGAAAAGGTCGTCGACGAACTTGAAGAGTTGGCTAATGTCGTAGGTGATGGAGGGTGAGTGAGGGTTCAGCTGACGTAGGTGCTCCTCATAGATCTTGCATATTCCTACAGAGACCAATGGTATTTGTAAAACACTGTCCAGAAGTCCATGCTCAAAACCCACGAGATTAATAAAAAATGCGTCAAACATGCGGTGGCGTACCTTCCAAGCACTCTTGTACCGTCTCGTAGTCAGTGTAGGTCCTTGACTCGTGCCCTCGAGCTGGCTGGATTAGCAAGATTGTGTGCGGCTGTAGGAATCAAGAAAACAATGCAACTATTTATACTAGTATTCTACGTATTCAACTAACCATGATAACAGGAGGTGGAATCCTGCTCGTCAACAGAATAACGGGACGGCTAACAAACGTCTGTTCTTAGCTGGAGGTTCACAGTTTTGTGCCTACTATCTAAGATTGTTCCAATAAAAGCGCAGCACAGTGATTCCGCGGTTACCTCCCCATTCCCATTCCGCAGCGTAATTATGACGTAATCTACAAAATTAACCAATCAAACTCCCCGTTTGTGGACAAACGGCACATGGTCTGGTTCAAAGCTTAGAAGGCAAGGATTTTTCGCCACCTCGCCTCTCTTCCCTCCTTCTGCAACTGGCCATGGTGTTCTTTGTGAGTTCATTACTAGATCGAGATTTTTTTTTAGCTATCGCGTTACTGTGGTCGATCAGTCGTGTTAGTGTGTCATTGTTGCGTGTTTCCCTTCACAGCCTCCGCCATCTCTGGACAACGAGTGGGATTCTGAAGAGGAGGACGGCATAGCCGACCAACATCCGCTGGACGTCTGCTGGTGAGGCCCAGATCCTAATTGCACGGTTGATGCGGGTTGGCGGGAACTCGCGGGACTAGCTGTGTGGGTGTGTGAGCTGGGATAATGGGAATTCCGGCTGAGCTGGTCGTTGTACAGGAAGCAGGACCAGCTCTCTGACTGCTGGTTATAGGACACGTGGGCAGGGCTCATTACCTGCTAGCTCTTGTGAGGGATTGGTAGAGTATGTAGAGGCTTTTTTCTAGGGGGTCACTAATGCTAACAACACTAAATAAGAGGTGTCTAATAGATTCACGACATATTTGGGAGGAAAGTTGGTTGCTATATATCGTGTGAATGAAACAGGCTTGTTTAGGTGGCGTCCGTGGGAAGCCTTGGTAATGTTCTCTCTTCTCTGTCTCCCACACGCAGTGTTCCAGTCAACTCGTTTCAGTTGGTGGTCAGCTCTCTGCCGGGCAGGAGATGTGCAGGGATTAGACGGAGCCTGGTGGCTGACATTGGTATAATTAATACCATACCACACCTCATACACTGTGTTGATGCTAGAGCTCACTGCTGATTGTGGTGTCCACGTTGTATACATTTTGTGCTGTTTTGCAGGGACTTTGAGGAAGGCAGGTGTCCAAGACGTGTTTGTACTCTGCACCGAGGCCGAGCTGCGAAGGTGAGGGATTTTCCCCCCAGTGAATTTTTCCCCTTGTTGGATAATCCCTGTGAGAGTAAAGGGGTTCCTCCATTATATCAGAGGAAGTGGCATAGCAATATTGTTATGAGCTGGTGACACCTGAGTTGCATAGTTTGTGTAGACCCTCCTCCAGGTGGCATACTAAAACCATTTCTTGTCTGGGCTTCCTCCTCACTCCTCCCCACACCCTTAATTTAAACCCTCCCCCATTACACCATTTCCCTCTCCTCCTCCTCCTCCAGGTGTCACGTGCCCACCCTCCCAGTGGACTACCTGGAGCATGGCCTGGTGCCCCACCACCATCCTCTGGATGACGACCACCTCTCTCTCTCCCTCACTCTCCCTCTCCTCCAGGAACTACACTCCGTCCTCCTGGCCGGCAGACAAACGGCCATACAGTGAGTTACTTGATTTTTATTGCAAATACGCATACACAGCGGGTTACAATTGTGTGTATAATGTATATCTCCACAGTTGTACAGATGGTCTGGGGCACTCGTGTCTCATGGTAGTACTGCTAGCCATGTTACTGGACTCTGACCTCCCTCCCATGGTGGCCATGGAGATTGTACAGAGAGCTAGAGGACCAGCTGCCATTCAGACCATCAAGGTACATACACACACATGCATGCACGCACGCACACACACGTGGTTCAGAAAGCCCATGGAAGACTAGGATCTGCCTGCCTCTTCTTCCTCCCCCACTGTTTTAAAACAAAACTAAACTTCCTCTCTCATGCAGAACATAATATTGTATTTTGGATGGCTCGGTCTCCATATCAACGGTGTATGGCCGGTTTTCCTGCTCAAACAGCTAAATTTAGTAGCAGTTGCATACATTTCTGGGGGGGTGGCTTCATTACGTAAACTATAAAAGCCCCACAACTCCTTGCAACCTAAACACAGGGAGGGTGGGAGGGACTGTTGATATTTCAACCTCACCTTCCTCATACAACTCTGAATAGCTTGCAACCACTGAGCCATTCTTGAATTAACAGCATAGAAATCATAAGCTCATCAGTATGTCTTGTCTGTACACAGCAATACAACTTTGCCATGGACTTCCGTAAGAACCTCTCCGAGTGTGACGCCAGCTCATCACCGGGGAACCCCTCCTCGTCTCACCTCAATCTACCGTCTTCCGCCCTCCCTGTCTCCTCCTCTGCCTCAACAGCTGCAGTCTTCTCCTAGCTTTCTCAGCCAAAATTCATTGACTTTTTTGTTTTTTTGTGCTCATTTCCTCCTCTTTTGCACATTATGTATCACATTTGGAGGTACAATAGGGCAAAATATGGTACATTCAATTTCACTATGTATTCATATATATATAGGTGTGTATAGCTTCATGCAACATCCTTTTCTGATGTACATGCACATGGGAAATGTTTCTTCCTATTATGACTGTTTTTTTGTCAAAACAAACCTATAATTATATGTATAATGTGTGCAATAATCCACATGTAGGTGTGTCTGGTTTCATGCAACATCCTTTTCTGACGTATATACATGTGCATATAAAATTAATGACCATTTTTGCAGTACAACAAACTATGAAGAAGTATTGTGTATTACCATGTAACAATAGACCATGTGTGAAATACCATTGGGTGTTGAAAATTAACACAAGGGCCATGATAATGAAACAGGGATGATAATGAGAGAACTGGAAGTGAACGACCTATGACCTTGCGACCATGTTTCTCATTAGGACACTGTTCAGTTTCTCCAGCTTCTTCACATCCTGTAGCTGGTCTGTCTGGTACTTGACACACTGTGTGTAACCAACCATAACACGTAAATTTGAACGAGGCATTGATAGCTGTATGTCTGGTCAGTGGACTCACAGTCTTGTCGTCCGTTATCTTCAGCACCAGAGCCCCGTCGCAGTGCCTGTACTTGACACAAAATCTGGTCTGCAAAAACAAACATTTTCCTATGCATTTCTACGCATCAGACTACATTACACTCATGCTATTTAACCTTCCATGGACTCTGTGAGTAAATCCTCTCTGCCGCCTTGGCGAATTCTTCCCAGCTATCCACGTAGGGAGAAGTCATATTCGAAGCGTATGAATCTCTATTTAGAGCGCTCCTCCTTGACCTTCCGACCTTGACACGTGAGCGCACTCTAAAAGCTAGCTCCCTCCCTCTGTGCTTGTGTACAGGCTTCTTCATGACTCGCACAGCCCGCAGGGGCAAGAAGAAAGAGCCTCTTCCAGCTACGCCATGGGAGAAGCTAAGCGGAGAACACTCCAACCAAAAACGGAGTGAAAACGGCGACATAGCGAGGGAAAACGACGACTTGAAGGTGACACAGAAGAGAAAACTGGGCCCAAAGGTTACTAAAAAGGCTAAAACAAAGCTCAAGAGACTTACAGGAAAAGCATCTTCCAATGGAACATTTGATGACCACGTCACACTGATCGATCAAACTGAGCCCAGCGAATCTCTGTCGGAAAGTGCAAATGGTTCAGAATCCCGCCTCAAATCCAAGAAAAAGCTAACAGGGCAATCACAAGGTAGCGTAAGAACTTCAGAAAGCAGCAAAAAACCTTTGACAAGGGGAAAAAAGAGGAAGTCGGAACGCTTGCTAAAGAAACTCGGGAAAAAGAAGAGGAGGAAGGGGGTGAGTGAGGACAGGGTGCACCTGCTGAGACACTCGGATTCTGACAGTAGTCTCAGTGACCAGGGTGAGATGGGGTCTGGTGGGGAGAGTGGGAGTGGTGAGTGTGAGGCTGGGGATAGTGGGAAACTTGGTGGAGACAGTGGCGGTGGACCTGGTGTGGAGTTTAGGGAGGAGGATGAGGGAGGGAAGGACGTGAAAAGTATGAAAAAGGGGAAGAATGTCTACTCCAGAATCAAGAAAGGCAATCGGTGGGTGAAGGCTAGCAACAGTCAGCCATTGGTTGAGGAGGGAGGGGATGGGACAGGAGAAGAAGTGGACGGAATTGGCTCTACAATGAAGAGAAAGAGGCCAATGGACGAGGAGAGCAGAAGAAAGAGGATTGAACATCGGAAACTAAGGAGGCAGAGGAACAAGGTGAGACAAATGAGCTCCTTATTAATATTGTAAAGCATGTCACTAGATCAAAGGCCGCGATTCTTGAGCATGCAAGACGGCCTCGTGCGCTCAGCAGAGGCGCGCTGACAGCTTCCTTAGAGAACACATTCATTCCACACAGGTGTGCTTAACTGTCGGCAACACGAAGTGTGTGGACCCGGCGGCACGTCGACGGCCAAGCGCTTGAGCGTGTGCGTCGCTCGGTCCTCTCCGGCATTAACCGCTCTCCTGCGGGTCTGCTTCCAGTGTGGTTCCTCGGAACACATACCTGTCAACAGTGCCACACCAAGTCCTTCTGGTGAGGGTTTCCGGCCTTAGACCAACTGCTTTTGCATTACCTTGGGCATTGAAATTTCCTTATATATTATATGAGCCCGTCCTTTATTCGTAGTTAATACTAGTATG